ATAATTCTAATGTGCAGCAATGTTGAGAACTGTTGCCCGTGACTACAAAGAATCGTCACTAAATAAATCATCGTCTCAGACACATCCAAACAGGAACCAAACCTAGAGTCTGAACAGAAAGCGAGATCTGGCCAGGCCAAAGCAGGTGGATTGCCTGAGGAGTTTGAGACCAGCCTGAGCAAGAGGGAGACCTGGTCTCTACTAAAAATAGAAAACTAGCTGGGTATTGTGGCAGGTGCCTATAGCCCCAGTTACTCAGGAGGCTAAAGCAAGAGGATTACTTGAGCCCAAGAGTTTGAGGCTATTGTGAGCTATGACGCCATGGCATCCTACCCAGGGCAACAGCGTTAAGACTGTCTTCCAAAAAAGAAAAGAAAGTGAGGTCTCATTCTCAGAGCAGTAAGGACAACTTGCTGGGTAACCCTGGACAGTCCCAACACCTGCATGTACCTCCACTGCCTCATCTGGCAACTGGGGTAATAAATACATTCTCTGTTTACAGCAGCAGTAACTAATTCCTCTGAGAACATAACTCTGGAGATTTCAGATCCCTCACCAGACCTAACCAGACTTATCCAGACTCTAGTTTGTGTGTGTACAGGTCTGCCCACAGGGCTCCTGTTCCCTCTGCCAGATAGCTGCTACTCCCCTAGCCCAGCCTCTGACATAGAGTGGCTGGGGCCCCAGAATGTTTGCCATCAGAGAGTTGACAGAAAGGTGGCTGTGGGGTAAAGGAAAGGACTCAGTCACTTCTGCATACCCAATTCCCTGGTTCACGTCTCAGTGCTGCTACATGAGCTATGATATCTTAACTTCCTATCTCAGATTTCTCATCCACAAAATGGAGCAGTCAGCTACTTCACAGGTTATTGTGGAAATTGAACAAGATAACAAATGTTTGGGAAGACACCCAACACGGTGCGTACCACATGATGGAAAACCAAAGCAGAGGCTGAAATGCCACTCAAAAATAAAAAAGATCCCTGTCCCAGCCGGGTGCCATGGCTCACTCCTGTTATCCTACCACTAGCACTGCGGGAGGCCCAAGTGGGAGGATCCCTTGAGCTCAGGAGTTCCAAACCAGCCTGAACAAGAGCGAAGCCCTACCCCTACTAAAAATACAAGTTATCCAAGTGTTGTGGCAGGCACCTATAGTCCCATTACTTGGGATGCTGAGGCAAGAGGATTGCTTGAACACAGAGTTTGAGGTTGCTGTGATACCATGACACTCTAGCCTGAGCACAAGAGTGAGACTGTCTCAAAAAAAAAGACCAGGTCCCAACATCTGCCCAAAGCCGCTGCGGAGGAGGGATAAGGTCTTTTAAGCAAATACGGGAAGATTGGCACAAGAACCCTTCAGTTTTTCCTCAGTTAAGGGACCATCAGTCTTGACCCCTCCACCCAGGTACAACTGTGCTAGCTTCTGCTCCCCACTAATGCTCAGCCACACCAATGGGCCTGGCCCACCAGGACAACCCAAGTTAAACATTCACGATCAAACACATCAGTGTCCACTGCTAAAATAGGAGGCTTGCCAAGCACACCATACACAGCAGGCAAGGTTGATTCAATCTCTCATTCTCCTCCCAACACATTATTCCCAGGGTTCATCCTAGTGATGAGGGCTGACACCATTCTACGGTCACAAAGCAGTGGAGCACCAAAGACTTTCTCTCTGGCAGCACCAGGGTATAAACAGTGAGAAAGGCCCACAAGGAAAACCCTATATCCTACACCCCCAAGTTCAGTGGGGAGAGCCTTCTTTGCACTACTCACTCCCTGAGCAACCACATCCCCTGCAAGGAAAGAATGTGGCCATGGCACAGAAAGCTTGGAATCAGTGAGTCACTGATTAGAGAAAGGCAAGGACTTCCCAGTTAGGAATCCAATCATGCTGATTCTGCAACAGAATGGGTGAGAGAAGGGGCCCAGGGCTCCACTCTCTTCTCCCATAATCAACCCCACACAGCAGCCAGAGACCCTTCTCTTTAGTTCTCCATTGTATACTGAGAAAATACAAATTCTCAACCACAACTTCCAAGGTCCCCAACTCCATCACTCTGCTCCAAGTCTCAATAGGCTCATTTCATCCCTACCACAAAGCCTTTGCACTTGCCTGGGTCATTCTACCCCGACCCACCCTTTAGTTCAGTATTCAGGTCAAGGGTTAACTTTAGTCCTCTGATTGTCTACTCCACTCCCCTGAACATAAAATCAGCACAGGTACCTATCTACCTAGTAGTGGACTGAAAAGCAGATGCATAGAAGCCCATGGGGCCAAGCGTGCCTCCCAGCACCCAGTGCAATATCTGCTGCCTCAGAACACTTCTCTGGGTCTCCTCTGAACCCCACCCCTTATGCGCGGCCCTGCCCCATACAGATTCTCCTACCATGCACATGAAAGCTGGGCACAGAAAGAGAAATCTGCCCTTTAAGCCCCCCGCTTCTAACACATACACATATCTTGGGGGGTGAAAAACATCCTCTGGACCCAGGGACAAGGAGAGACCAGGAAAAGTTGTTCTTCCCAACTTGGG